GAAAAAACCAAACCAAAACAAACAAACCAAACCTATGTCCACTACCTACTGGTGTCTTTAACAGTCCGTTGCTACCTCCCTTCTCAGGTCTTAGAACCCTGTGGCTCAGTCGTTCCTTATATCACACCCATTCACCAAGGATCTCTTATTAGTTCAGTACTGTTCCAGGTGCTGAGCATAAAAAGGCAAATAAGACAATGCCCCTACTTCAAGCCACTTAGAATACAGCTGTTCCTATGATTTGTATGTTCCCCTACTCTTTCTTAGGGCATTTGGGAAAGTTATTAAAACTCCTTGGAGCCCAGGGTTTTTTTTTTTTTGCACACACTCTGTTCAATCCAGACTGGCCTCTTTATGCTGCTGGAATAGCTCCTCAACACTCAGGTCATTCATGGCTTTAATGTTACCTCCTCAGAGAGGTTTTCTCTTACTTCCCTTTACTTATTGCACTTCCCTTACTTCCGGTGCTTCCCCTACTTCACCATGTTGTAGCTCTTTCTCAATGTACCATGTATGTTCCCTTCATGGTCCCCATCGTTCCATATGCATTTGCACCCTCTGCTCTTACAGCATTAATTTGTGCATATCGTTTACCCATTGAAGTGAGAGCACTGCACTTCAAAGACTTAGTAAGAGAATAGAATGTTAAAATGACTAATTAAATATCTGTTAGTATGATTACCCATTGAAATGGTTAAACATTGCATTTCAGACACTTAGTAAGAAAAAATGTAATATTAATTAATAACTTTTTCTAATCGTTTACATGCTGAAATGCCAACTGACTGAATGTCAATGAATCAGTAACTAAAACGAATGAAAAGTAACTAATTAAAAATTGATGTATTGTGTTCCCTGTTGAAATGAAATCAGACTACATTTTAAAGACTTAGTAAGAAACAAGTTGCAAAGAAGTTAATATGTTTATACTGTTTCCATGTTAAAATGATAACATACTGCTTTTCAGACTCAGTAACAAAAATAATTAAAATTAAATAAATTTTGCTCTTGTTGCTTCCATGTTGGAATAACATACTGTATTACAAAGACTTAGAGAAAAGAATGTAAAAAATAATAATAAATAAAAATAGTTAATAATGTTTTTATTGCTTCCATTCTGTAATGACAACATACTGCATTTCCAACTTAGAAAGAAAAACATGTTAAAATAACCAAAACAGAATTTGTATGTGTTGTTTTCTTGGTGAAATAACAGATGGCATTTCAAAGACTTATTTCTCATTCTGAGCTACCTGTATAAGGCCCACCAAACTGAGAAGGTATCCTGAGACCAAGGAACGAAGCAGGCAACTCCATTTTACACGGAGTTTAGTTATTATTGTTATTATTATTGATGGGTGGTTATTTGCACGGTCCTGGAGAAGTATCAGTCCATCCAAGTGTGGTTACTTACAGGGGTCAAGAGGAGTATCAGTCTATCCTAGTGCTGTGCAGCTGCTTCTTCCACAACCTGAGGGGGGAGCAGTTGAATCTTATGAGGGAGTTTGGGATAAAAATGGAGCTCTGCCAGAGAGAGAAATTCTATGGAAGTGGAAGATTCCCAGGCACCTCACAGCCTCCTGTTGCTTATCCTTGGGGTTGCTGGCATCATTCCCCTCGTCTTACACAAACATAGCATTCTGTTATTTTTCCTCCCTCAGTTTCTGTGCAGGGGAGGGATTGCAACTATTGAAGCCAGAGCTCTGAAGGCCACGAGGATGGAGTGAGTTCTGACCAGCATTCCTACAACTGAGGAATAGAAAATAATGCAAAATTAACTAATACTTTGCTCATATATTCCACGAGTAATGAAAATGCACAGTATTTTAAGGACCAACTAAAAACAAATTAATAATTTATGTATATTGATTTCATGTTGAAATTATATAATTTTTTGACATTGTGTGAGATAAAATATGCTATTAAAATTAAACTCACACAGTCCTTTTAACTTTTTCTTTTGGTTTTTACTTTCGCCACTATAGCTCTTACTATATACGCTTTAAGGTCTCAGAACCTTTATAGATTTCCTGGATAACTTGGATTTATGTGGTTGACAAAGCCGCCCTTTCAACACCCCAAATCTTGCTTGGTCCTTCTTCCTCCCCTTACACAGCTTTATTAACTCAGGGATGTAAGTGTCAATGATAAGGGCCTAACTTTTGGCCATCCTGGAGAAAGAAAGAAGAACACAGCAGTGGGGACTAGGGAGGTGGTACTGGATGACCACTGAGGTGAACAGGCCCAATGGGAACAACAGTCAGAGGCCAGGTGTGAAATGGCCCTGGAAATTCCATGGGTGAGATTACTGTGGGCATGTGCATCTTGGGGTCATAGAAATCTCTGCTCTTATATGCAACTTTGGTGTGTGTGTGTGTGTGTGTGTGTGTCTGTGTGTGAACAATTTTTCCAGGGAGAATAGTGATGCTTTTGTCAGGAGTCCATGTCCTCTAAAATGGAAACATGTCACCTTGGCAAGACCCAATGTGCCTGAGGGCAGCTGTGGAGGTCACATGTGCGTAAGAGGAGACAGTGATGAAGGGAAGGGAGGTACATACCAGGCGTAACAACTTGGAGAAACAATCCTGGATGGCACTGTCCAAAACCAAAAGATAGAGGGAAGTGACTGACGGATCGGAGTTGCACAGCTCCTCTCCCTCCCCTCCCCCCTCCTGTCTCTCACTCAGTCTCCCCCCTCCCCTTCCTCCTGGGTAGCTCCCATCTAGACTGCCCTGGCTTCCTCCTGTGCCACAAGGAGCAGCACTTGGAGCCTGGGCTTCCTTCGTGTCCCCAGGGAAGGCTCCAGAGGATTAGGGAACAGGGTGAGAGCCCAGGGCTGTGTGACCTCATGGCTGTACAGGATTCTTCTGGGCCTATCCTGGCCAAGACCAGGTCATTCCCCAAGGAGGGCCCAGATGCTGGGGCAGGGAGGGGAAGGCAGGGCTATGGGAGAGATGGGGGAGACATAGGAGAAGACAGGCAAAGGAGAAAGAGGAAGCAAAGCAACGGGAAGGGAAAGCTCTACCATGGTGGTGGGGACAGGGAGGAAGGAGGAAGACAATGGCTCTCCTGCCGAAGCTTTTTCCCTCACCTGCCCCTGGCTGGCCCTGGTGCCTGAGGGAGAAGTGGAAAACATTTAGCTGTTGTGCTGGGCCCATTGGATGCAGGTTGAGCCTTTGTCATCTGTGTGAGGAGTAGCCTCATGGGCAGGAGACCTTCCCCAGAAGGGGAGAAGGGTCAGGTTCCAGCCCAGCATGGGGTTGAGGTCTCTGGTCCCCTCTTACGATCACCTTGTTGTCTCCTGATGGTCCCAGTGCACATGTACCTGTCTGAGTTGGTGCCTTGCCCTAGAAATCCTACCCATCGCAGGGTACCCAGAGTTCCTCTGAAGGACCAGGCAGGATGATGTGACGTGGGGAGGGAGGGAGGGTGTGATGGCTGGTCCCCTTAGATACCTGTCCTGCTGTCTCCTCAAACTCGTCTGCCCTCTGCCTTCCATTCCTGCCTTGGGAAGCCCTCTGCTCACTGGTGGTGGATCACTTCTGGTCCTCTGACTCGGGAAATCCAAGCTTTTCCCTGAGGAGGGCCCAGCTCCTTGCTCTGGACCATAGGATCAGAAGTCATGATGGCAGTCACTCAGGGCCTCTGTTCTGAGCATGGGGCAGGAACACACCCATATCAGCCTGTGCCAGGCGGGGGGCCCTTTCTGAAGTAAGGGAAGGAGGGCCAATCTTGGTACAGGGCAGGAAAGCCCCATCTCAGCACGGAGGCATGAGGCCCTGGGCGGGAAGACCCTTCTCTGTCCAGGCATCAGCATGTGGCTCAAGGCTGTACACGCCTGGTTCTGGTGAGGAGGAAGAGCCCTGCTTTTTGGAGCACACTTATGGAGGGAGGCTGGATGAGGCTGGGTGCAGAGAGGCGGGAGAAATACCCCAGACCAGGAGAAAAGGTGAGCAGGTCAGAGGAAGGAAAGGAGACCTCTAAGCACGGCTGAGGGACAGAGGGAGAGAGGATGGTGCAGGGCCTATGGTCTTCCAGAGGACCAGGGCTGCCTCCTCCTGCCAACTGCACAGCAGGGGCAGCTCAGGCTACTGGAGAGTGAAGGTCCCTAGCAAATGTGGCCAGCATTATCACTGACCTTACATAGGCAGGTTTGTATGGGAAGTTTCTGCACAAGGGGTTCCCATCTAGCCACAGAACTTCTAGCTTCAGCCCTTTCACCTTGTCCAACTCCCACACTGACTTCAGCTGTGAAATATGCAAAGAAACTGGAAAAGGTGTCCCAGGGAAAGAGAAATGTCTGGGACCCTGGACCCTCAGCCCCCACTCTCACCCTCAGGTACATTTGCCTGCCTGTTGTCATCACCCCGATGTGGGCAACCACCCTCAACCCCAATTTGCTCTGGCTCCCTCTTTACACCTGATTTTTGGAAAGATTCAGGATCTTGACTGTAGGGGCCTTCTCTTGTCGGGTCCACCGTTGGCGGCCGACCCGTACAGCACTAGCCTCGTTCCTTCTGGTGAGCGAGCGAATGGGCCCGGATTACTCTTTCCCTCCAGTCCCCTTTGGAAGGAGACGGGGGAAGAGAGCCATGAAGAGAGGCGAGCACACCGCCGGCCCCCCAAACAGCCCAGTTAAAGGACACTCAGACGTGGCGGGGGTTCTGTCGAGGCAGTTCCATTTATTATAACACAAGCACTTGCTTTTAAAGGCAAATGGAGAAGGCAGGTTTTTTACATCCTCCAATTAGTTTAATGGTCAAGGGGATGTATCCTGTCTCAATGCCTAGCTATTGCAACCACGCAGTGTTCACGAGCGCAGAAGCATGTATTTGGCCAATAAGGGCTCAGGCAAGGTTCCCGCAGACACCCCCACCCTACTTCCTCCCGGCACTGTCTTAGGCTGCCACATTAATACGCCCTTTTGGGCCCATAATGGTGCCACTTGTAATGTCACTTAAGGTGAAGCACGTATTTGGCCAATAAGGGCTTAGGCAAGGTTCCCACAGACACCCCCACCCTACTTCCTCCTGTCTTAGGCTGCCACGTCTTGTAATGTCACTTAAGGTGGTGTTAGTTTTTAAGGCCCAACATTCTCTATAATGTCAGACAGGCCATCCAGCTGGTACAGTTTGTTGTTGTGCAAGTTTAAGGACAACAGCTTTTGGGGAAGAAGAGTCAGAGTGACAGTTACTATCTAGGACATCGGAGACAAATCTGCCTTCCACCACATCTCTTCCACCCCTCTACCTAAATACCAGCACTAGGCCTAAGGCCTCACCCCAGGGAAATTCCTTTCAATGATCTGCAGGGTGGCAGCCATGCAGTTTCTTCGATTCAGGATTATGTCGATATCATGGCCCACCAAGTCTTCAGGAAAAAGAGAAGGGAATTAGAAGGCTGAGAGGGGTCTGGCTGAACCAGCACCAGAACCAACTCCTCCCCAGGTTGCCATCCCTAAGTCTTCCTCCCAGGCAGACCCCTCTGTCCCCACCTGCCCTAGAATTACTGCTGTCAGCCATACCTGGGTCAAAGCGCAGCCTCTGGAGGTCTAGAGACTGCTGAGAGACATTATATCGTTTGTTCATGGTCAGCTGCAGAGACAGAGGTGGACAGAGCAATTATGAGGCTGTGGTGCTGGTGGTGGTGACAGGGAGATTGGAAGGTGGAGGAAGAATAGGTGGGTCTAGGAAGTGGGCACACAACGTGCTTTGAGTCTGCATTACCTTTAGCTTCTCCATTTGTTCTGGCCTCAACTTACTCTGCACAGAGTAAAGTACAGCCGAAGGACTGACAAAGACACTTATCTGCAGGAAGGAGAGCAGGGTAAGCACCAGGACATGTAATCCCAAAGATGACAACCATCCCCCGCCAGTGCTCCTGCCCCAGGACTAGGTACACGGAATGCCCTCGGCACACACCTTTTGATTCTTCTCAACACAAATCTTATAGCTGACACCCTTCAGTGCGGAGGCAGTACTAGCGTCCTGGACAAAGAACTGGGCCCGATTTTTGCCACAGTGGCAGTACAGGGAGTGTAGGCAAGAGCAATAGTGTCACAGGCCAACAGCCCTCGACGAGCCAGGCCTCTCCCCCTCCCCTGTGCCCACTCATCTGGCTTCACCACTGTCCTCTCTTACATCGACCGGGCTGAAGAGGACACTGCACTGGCTCTGGATTGAATTCATTAGCCACGTCCTGTCATACTTTCTCCCATATGGAATCTAAGGATAAGAAGAAAGAATAGGAGGGAGAAGAGAGACAATGTGGCATTACAGATGGAGAACAGACTCAACCACGTGTTATTGTACAACCTTCTCCCTACTTCTGAAGGACTTCTAAAGAAGGGACTGTCAATTTCTTATACTTGTGCCAAATGTAGATTTCCTAATCACCCTTCTCTCCAATGAGAAGCTTTCTTCCCTATAACCAACTGAAAGTGTTTAATGCAGTCTTTCTGCTGGAAGGTTCCAGAATATCTTACCTAGTGCAGAACTTGCTGTGACACTCAATGTGACCTTGAACCAGCTCCCCATGGTTCCATCTTGTGTGTTCTCCCCCATTCCTCTCTTTGGAGGTTTTCTATTTCTCCACTCAGTAATATGGATAGGGTCTTAATTACTCCCTTTCCCTCTCCTCTTGTTGCATCTGATGGCATGAGTGCTGTGGGGAAGGGGAGAAAAGGAGGGTGTCCAGCAATGCTGAAAAAGTCTTGTGTACACCCTCCCCTCACTGATAACCAGGTCTCCTATTAGTATTCAAACATTGCACAGCACCCCGTATATACGTACATCTACTGTGTTTCAATTAAAAACAAAATTAATTTTAAAAAATTAAAAAGTAATTTAAAGAAAATTGCCCAACCATTATTCCACTCCTAGCATGCTTCAGTTTTCCAGTCAGAGAAGAAAAAGAAGACCACAGAGAATGAAAGAGTTTCACAGTCCCAGGGGCCACTACTTGCAAACCAGGCTGCCTGGTCACCTCCTGTCTTATGTGCAAGTCCTCATGGACATCCCTCATCACCATGTTTCCATCATCCTCCTGGTGCTGTGAAGGTGGATGCTCCCACCCACCATGTTCGTAACAAAGGTTCCTCTTGTTAAAGTTATTCCAGAAATAACTCTTGTCTTTCTTTCTTCCTTGAAAAGCATTACCATCGTCACTGTATTCGGAAATTGGGAACGGAAATACAAGTTTGAAGATGCATTGATGATCCACTTGCCAAGTACCACGTCATGGGCTAACACCATGTTAGGGCAAGCAATGTGCCAACCTGCCCGGAGGGACCAATCACACAGACCCACAAAAGCAAACTCCTCTGCCTGTCCAGATATGACAGCCTCATCAAACAGGTAGCACAATCAGGGGAGAAAAACTGGAAGAGCAAGCAAGTATATTGAATCTTTTGAAAAATGGAGCAGGGTTTATAAAGAACTGAGGTGTGTGCATCCATTGGTTACACTGGACACCAGCCAGACACCGGGAAGCTGTCCTAACCTTGCCTTTTCTCAGGCTTCTCTAAGAACTACGCCAGTACCTGGGAGGCAACCTCTCTCACACCTCCCAAATCCAATCGGCCACCAAACTGATTCTGTGAACAACCAGCAAGCTGTGCTTCCCTTGCTGGTGTAGTACAAGGTTTTACAACAGGAGGGACTGATGTAACCACCTCCTAAACTGTTTTCCTGCCCCCAGACTTGCCTTCAAAAATACTCTGCTTCACATGTCCAGGGTGAGCTTTCATTTTGCTCAACTTGAAATGTTTTCAGCAGAAGAGACAACTCTTCCTAAACTCGAGTCTTCTATAACAAAGGTCAAAGCAAAGAACTGGAATGACGAGTCCACTACAATTTACAAGTATTTAAAGATTTTTCTGCCATCTTTCTGTTATTGATTTCTAGTTGTATTCCATTATGGTCAAAGAACATACTCTGTTTTCAGTTCTTGTAAATTGTTTGAGGAATATTATAATACACTTGAAAAAAAATAATAAGTGTGTTCTGCTGTCGTTGGCCGAGGTGTTCTATTTATGTCGTTTAGATGCTGTCATTGTATTGACTCTATTGGTCACATCTTCTACAGCCTTGCTGATTTTCTGTCTAGTGATTGTTATCACTTGCTGTGGTGGGGGCGGGGGGTGTTGAAAGCCACAACTATAACTGCGGATGTAGCTATTTCTCCTTTCAGCTCCATCAGTATTTGCTTCGCATGTACTTCAGGCTCTGTTGTTTGGTGCGTACACACTCAGGGTCATTATGTCATCGTGGTGGATTGATTCTTTTATTGGTACATAATGCCCCTCTTTGTCTCATTAATTTTCTTTGCTCTGACGTCTAGTTTACTGGGTAATGTAGCCCATACAATACAGCTTGTATTTCCCCCTGTATTCAGTCCTAGGAGCTGCGCTGCTGTTTGACTCCTCACGCTTCACGCCAACGCACCTCATTCACCAGGGTCAAGGTTTGAAGGGATTTTTTTGGCAACTACAGAAATTAGGTAGTCTTATGTCTAAGGATATTTTATTTTTACCATAGTCAACTGAAACAATGTACCAGCAGGTGGTAATAGTAGTGTTTTGGGAAGATGGGGATTAAGGTAAATAGACCACTAGAAACCAGCTCCCTCTCAGGCTCTAACACTTAAGGTTCTCTGGCTTTGCATGTTATACATTTTGTACATTAATGACTCCACATCGTCTCAGGGCACACTTATGAATAAAAGTATGTTCACTCCTGATCACTCCAGGATGTACTGATTATGACCAGGCTTCAGATAAACTCCTGCTTTCACTGTGTATGTGACCCGCTGTCAGGACAGTCCTGCTACTCACAACTTTTGAGAGTTTCCCTGTGTGGCATTGGAAGTGAAATTAAATGTGGGCAGAACATTTGACGTGGAAATTCCACATGCTAGGCCCACAAATCTTGGAGGTGGCCTGGAGTGCCCTCTTTCTCTCACACTCCACATCCAACTGATCAGGAAATTCTCTTGGCTCTCCCTTGAGAATATATGTAGAGTCTACCCACTTCTCACCTCCTCCATTGCTACCACCCTGGCCATGTCGCCAGCTCCTATCTCCCAGATTATGCTGCCTTCCAACTTATCCCTCTGCTTTTACACTTGCTCCCTTACCATCTATTTTCAACACAGCAGGTAGAAAGATTTTTTTAAAGCATAAGTCGAATTTTGTCATTCCTGTGCTCAAAATCCTGTAACAGGGGTTTAAAGCCCATCGATATGTTAAAAAGCTACAAGTCCATAATGATACTCAGAAACACCACCAAAAAAGAACTTTATTGGTGATATTTGGAGAATGCCAGGAAACCAACTTATTTTAGTTAAAGTTCAGAAATGATAAGGAAAAATTCAATATTAATGTCAGAGATAAGGGCACATGGTCAATGTATGCAGTATAGGAAGAGTCAGAGTCATCTTTGAGAACTGACATTCCTTCAGAAATGATGTCACTGAGAGGAAGGGTGAAACAAGTGAGTTAGCTAACAGTTACAGCTACAACCTCAGGCAAAACATCATGCTGGGAATCTCCTGGGAGAGTGGGCATGTGATAGAAAGCTACAGAGAGACTCGATGGACAGGGATGCTGAAGACAAAACACACACAGGAGCACATCCACTTACTGAACTTGTATCTCAGCAGCACAATGCCTGTCTTTCGGTTGTGCAAGAATCCAAGGCAATAACAGGAGTATTATCAAGCAGCTAGTGCCCCTCAGCCAGACTGCCTGGGTTCCCCCTCAAGCTCCACCATGTTCTAGCTGATTCTCTTACACAGAAATCACAGTGAGAGTCCTTTATGATATCATCTGTGTTGCTACTGGTACTTTCTGTGTCATTTTGGAATTCTGCCTACATTTTTGCCATAACTCTGAGTACATGGCAACAGCATCCCTGCTGTGGTAGGGAAAGAATAGGGTAAGAAGGAAACCAACACTTGCCCAGTGGCAACCAACATTTGCACAATGTTGGGCAGACTCACTAGGTTTCTCTTGACTGCCTCACAGAAATCCCATGGGAACTGTATCCACAGTCCCTTTTCAGATCATGAATATCAGTCCCATGGACTTTTGGTATATTCCCCAGGATTTCTCAGTCAAGTAAGGGACAGAGCAGGAATTGTGCTCTCACATATTGGTCTGCCTCCACACCCTGAGTGCTCCTCTAGAGACTTCACTGTTTCCCCCTTAATGGTGAGCTGTCAGGTCTCAAGGACAGATATCTGTGAGCAGGCCAGTGATGAGGCTTTGTGCTAATCACTCCTGCTGGGGTGGTTACCAGGAGTCTTAGACCTGATGGTAGAAATCTGTTTAAGTCACAGGGCTTGTAGATTACAAGTCACATTGGGCTGGCAGTGTCTGACACAGAATAGGAGCCTAGTAAATATTTGTTACATAAATGCATGTGATGAAGATTTAGGATGATCAATAAAACCACTTTTGAGAATATATCAATCTCAACCATTTCTACCTACATCTATTTTTTCCAGAAAATTTGGCTGCAGAACTGTTTCATAGACCTGAGTGTAAAGCTAACACAAATTGAATATTTCTTTTGCAAAATTATTGTTTTTCATTAGTATACCCTTAAAAATGGTATAACTAATGCTATAACTGCTGCTTTGATGATCTCAAAGAAGAAGGCTTTTGCAAACAGTGGTGATAGAAATAAGGAGAAGCTTTCCCTGAATCCAGTACACAGAGCTTTCTGGACATCTGGTGTGTGTAGAGGAAGAATGCTCTGGAGTTGCAGTCATGTCTGGTCGCTCAGGCTTGTGACAAACAGAAAGCACCATCCCTGTCTCAGAGGTTAAAAAAGAGCATGCACGTGTGTGTACATGTGAACATAGGTGTGTATTGGTGTTTTTTATTATATGCTTGTATAATTAGGTTACAGATACATGTATTCCAAATCACATTGGCAAATGCATTGCCACACACAACTGGATCCCATTGTAAATTTTCTTTTCATGTGTCATGTACTTTTTTGTTTTATGACTGCCATTCTAGTGTGGTTGAAGTGGTATCTCATTGTGAGTTTCCTTTGCATTCACATAATAACTAATGATGGTGAGTATCTTTTCATGTGACTGTTAGAAACATGTATATCTTCTTTGGAGAAATGACTAAGTCTCCTGCCAATGTTTCAAATAGATTGTTTGTCTTCTTGTTGAGTTGCAAGAGTTCTCTATATATTCGAGATACTGGGCAGATGTGAATTTTAATTATTTTTTAAATGAAACATATTGATTGTACATATATATGGAGTGCAGTTCAATACATGTATACAATGTGGGATGATCTAATCAGGGTAATTAGCATATTCCTCATTACAAAACTTAATCATTTCTTTGTGATGTGAACATTTGATCTTCTCCTAGTCGTTTGACAACATGCAGTAAATCACTGTTAATTATAGATTCCTGGTTCGACTGTACATTGATAGAATGTATTTCTTCTATCTAGCTGTAATTTTGTATACACTGTACAGCCTCTCACTATCCCCCCTCCCTCCCCTTTCATGCCTCTAGCAACCACAATTCTTCTCTCTCCTTTTAACAGTTCAACTTACTATTATATACTTATTTATCTGTTTGTTTATTGTTTCTGCTTTTGTTTTTTGTTAGCTCCCACATGTGAGTGAGGACATGCAGTATTTCTCTTGTTGTGCCTGGCTTATTTCACTTAACATCACTTTCTCTAAGTTTTTCCATGTTGCTGTGAATGGCAGGTTTTCATTCTTTTTTTGGCTGGGTAGTATTTCATTGTGTAAAGATACCACGTTTTCCATATCCAGTCATCTGTTGATGGACAGGTTGGTTCCAACACTTGGCTGTTGTAACTAGAGCTGCTATAAACATGAGAGTGCAGGTATCCCTTTGACATGATTGTTTCCATTCCTTTAGGTACATACCCAGCAGTAGGATTGCTGGATCATATGGTAGTTCTGTCTGTAGTTTGAGAAAGCTCCATACTGTTTTCCATAATGGCTGCACTAATTTACTATTCCCACAACAATGCATAACTGTTCTCCTTTTTCCCTGTCCTCACCAGCATTTGTTATTTTCTGCCTAATGTGGTTTTCATTTGTAGTGATGTGATGCTAAGCATTTTTTCATATACCTATTGGTGTATTTGTATG